ATTTTATTTTATTTTGTTTCTTTTTAAGTAATTTTTTCTAGTTTCTCTCACCCCGGTCAAATGGCGAATAACGGTACTCTGTGACTTAAGTCGGTTCTTTCAGTTTCCCACAATAACTGATATCTGTATATATATTTGTGCAATTCTATGAATCTCTCTTCCAATTCTCATTTGAAAATAGACACTAATCATGAAAAGTTGAAAAAGTATTTTCTCGCTCTGCCTCAGAATGCGATTACAAAAATTTACCATGCTAGATGTGCAAGATTGAGATTGTTAATGAATCATGGAATTCCTGAAGATATTCGTTGGTTGATTGAAGCAAAGGTCCGATTATCAGGTGAGTCCTTTAACTCCTTCATTCCACACATGCCTGGAACAGGTAAAAGCACTTTTGCAAAGAAACGTCGTGCAAAATGACTAAAAGTCTGTCATCGATGTGCTAGATGGACTTGTAATACATAATGTCGTTCTTTAGGAATGGTATCTATAAACCATGAAGATAAAATATAATTCATTAAGGATGGCCTGAGTAAGGAGTCTTTAGATAATCTTCTATTGACTCTTGAGACGCATCCTAGTAGAGATGTGCATCGTGCAATTCATGATTTATGGCTCCATTTTCATAAAGAACATGATCGACTTAGTCTTGGGAATCTGACTAAAAAAGACCTTGTTTGCCAGTTTTTAAGAAAACTGGATGGGAAGCCTATCCCCGACCCATAGAGGGCGTTTAAGCCGTTCTTGGACGTAAAACTAAGGGAATATGTGAGCCATAATCACAACTATCTGTACATACATATGATTTTTCAAAAGTAAATAAATAAATAAATAAAGAGAGAGAGAGAGAGAGTGAGACTCCAGCTGGCCTACATATAGGTGTTATGATTGCCTTTCTAATTTCTCATCTATAAAATCCTCTCTTCCTTCCTTTCAATTCTACTCAACCCATACATTCAACAAATATAAAAGTGTGTAGAAATGGCAAGTTCCTCGGGTCGTCATATAAGAAATATTTGTGTTTTTGGTGGATCTAGTCCAGGAAAAGAAAAGGAGTTTTTAGAATCAGCAAATCATCTTGGTCAGGTGCTAGCTGAGAGAAAGATTCATTTAGTGTATGGGGGAGGCAGTCTTGGGTTAATGGGAGGTGTGTCAATAGCTGTATTTTTAAGAGGTAGTCAAGTTTTGGGGGTCGTCCCCGAAGCTTTAGCACAAGGGGACATCATTGGAAAAACAATTGGAGAAGAACTTCAGGTCTCCACAATGTCGACTCGAATGAATGCAATGTGTAACCATGCTGATGCCTTCATTGCTTTACCAGGTGGTCTAGGTACATTGGAAGAGATCTTTCATATTTCCTCTTGGGGTCAACTGCACATTCACTATAAACCCATAGGTTTGTTAAATGGTAATGGTTATTATGATAAGTTGTTGTCTTTTCTTGATCATGCTGTGGAACAGGAATTTCTAACATCTTCTGCACGACAAATCATAATCTCTATTGCTACTGCTGAACAATTAATTGACCAGCTACAATCCTTCATTCCTGTAATTGATCCTTCCATGAGTCGCATAAATTGGTCAACTAAGGAAAGCTGTAAAAAGCTTAGATTGGATTTGAGCCTTCATTTGTGAATTTTTGTGTCTTTTGGTTTTATTATTGTGTTTTTGTTTCAGTGTGTTTCAGGTTTGTCAGGGTTTGTTATTTCAGGTGATATCTTCTATACTCTATCTTTCTACCTTTAAACATTGAGGACAATATCTCGTTTTGGTTGCGGGGAGAGGGTAGTAGTTGATAAAAAAAAATTGTTTTTCATTTCATAAAGCATGTGCATAATTGTTGTTACTAGGATGGCAGAGTAAAAGAGCTTTTTTGTTAAAGTGACTCTTAAGACGCATCTTAGTAACCATTCTTAACAAGGTCTATTATAATACTTCTTGAAATATTCAGGTTTACAAACTCTCGCATTGTTATCACTTAATTCTGCTCATATACTTATTTAACATGTATTCTTAAACCTTAATTTACACACACACACTTTAACATATGATTGTGGGTTGCATATTGGATTATTACACTATTTATGTTCTTTTGTTAAAGGTAACAACTAAGGGAAAGGGATTGTATATAATTAAAAAAAATTAAAAAAAAGAAAAAAAATGATAATAATAAAAATGTAGATAAGTTTGGTTTCGTAGCCTCCCTAACCTAAGCAATTAAGCCCAAAGGGGTGTTTTAACACCTAATACCCTAAAGTCAACTGACTTGGGAGTTATTGGCCCAACGCTTGTTACATGGGTTGAGGAGAAAAGCCTAAGGGAATCAAACATTACACTATCTACATATTAGTATCTGTGACCCGAGTTACTAAGCTCGTAGGGGTGTCTTAACACCTAATGCCCTAAGACCAACTGGTCTGGGAGTCATTAGCCGAAAGCTCGTTACATGGGTTAAAGATGCATGGTGTTTTTAAATTATATGTATATATATTTAAAATAAAAAGAAGAAAAAAAAAGACAAAAATAATAATCTCAACCCAAGGAAGTTAACCTTAAACATTAGAACAAAAATTTTGTTTTCTTCCAAGAAAAGCCCCATAATTATGTGTTGATACATTGAGCATAAAAGAAAGGTTTATGAATATCTTGTTAAGAGGTATTGAGCAGGTATATAAATTTAACGAGAGTTTATTTATCTGGATAGATTAATGGAAGTTAAATGATGAATACCTTGCTTTGTGGAATTTGCAAATTGTTTTTCTATTTTAACGCTTTGATTACTAGGGACTAGTAATAAGATGGTTAGGGGGGTGTGATTAGTACTTAAAAGTGCATTTATCAAGGTTTTATATCATCATTTTGCACTTAAAGTATCAATAACTCCTTAACTAAAGCATATTTTATAATAATATATCTAATAATATAAGTTACCTTTAATTTATGGTAAATGTTAATTTTAAATACAGGCCTATCACATAAATGAAAGGATTGATTGATGACTTTAAGAACTTAAATTGCAAGGGCAAAAAGATGATCAAAATTAGAAAAGAGATGTCGGTGCAATCTAAATCTGAAGTTCATATGGATGGAAAGGTAAGACATAGGCCTACAACTTTCATATGGAGCCCAAGATCTAAAAAAGCCATTTTCAAGTCCAAATTATAGCAACAACAAAGAAGCCCGAATTTGTTCTCCAGCCCGAGCACTGTTTAGTATTTTATCCATATCTGAAGTTCTAGAAGTCCAAATGAGCTGAAAGTTTTACACAAGAAAGCTGAGACAATTCCTTACAACTTTCATGTTTTCAAGTGGCTCTAATTTTGACGTTATTAATGACATTTTGGGCAGACAAGATAAGATAAGGATTGCCACCAAGTCAAGAGTTGGCCACCCACTCATCAATTAGTCATCAAATCAATAGTTCCCAATTTTGGCCTATAAAAGGAGGCATTTTCCATGCATTTAGGCATCTTGGTTTCTAGATCAAGATCATGCTCTTCCTTTCTCTCTTTGTATTTTTTGTAATGTTTATGCTTTGCTTTCATTAATATTAAGTTTATGCCTTTCATTTCATTTTCTTTACTTAGTTAACTCTTATCTTATTTATGTTCTTATTTTGTTTATTTATTTTTCTTTCTTTCATTATGTCTAGTTAAGTTTATTATGTCAAGGTGAAAAGGTTACACTAATGGTGTAAGAATAAGTATAATTTAAACTTAATATGGACTTTAATGTTTGATACTAACATGTTTTGTATTTGTTATCTTGTTCACTCTTTAATACTTTGCTTGTTAAATGATTAATCTTGATTTATGTTGTATAACACTTGGTACAACAAATGCTTGGCACTTTCATAGCCCATAATGTATGGTATAACCGACACCTGAGCTATGAAAGGAACTTGATTTGTTGTTAACATAAGTTATAATCATGAATGCTTGATGAGATTTACAAGTATTAGCATTAATTGAATAAGATGACTAATGTAATCATGTTAACAATATATAATCTCATTGGAACCTCCTTTGTGTGTGGTTTCTAATTGAATAATAAGAGTTTATACTATACTTGTTTGACATACCATTAATGGAATCTCTAATAATAAGAGTTTATATTATACTTGTTTGATATACCATTAGTGGAACTTCTAACCTTGACATTTGTTATTATTATTGTTTAATCTTTACATTAATTTTCCATCTCCAAGTTCTCATCATCTTCTTCTTCCTCTCTTTCTTTATTATTATTATTATTATTATTATTATTATTATTATAGTTGTTGTTGTTATTGTTATTGTTGTCGTTATTATTGCTATTATTGTTGTTTATAATTGTTGTTTATAATTTGTATAATTAACCTCCCTATGGTTTGACCCCGGTCTTACCGGGTTATTTATTACTTCGACACTCCTGTACTTGGGAGAAGACATCAATCTTTTCGTCGTGTCATGATCCAAAAAAGTTCTTTGTAATTTTTTCAAATAGAAGAATATTAGTGACATTTTCTCTATCGGTAACAATGTATTCTAAGCGAAACCTATGATATAAAATTGATTACATGTTCATTAATAAGAAGTGTATGATAATGTATATAAGGAACATAATTTTTTTTTATTTAACAACTTAATATTGCTTTAGTTATGAAATTAGCTGAGTTACCATGGAACTAGAAGAGAGGTGATAACATTATGATCCATACATGTGTAATTGTTTTTGCCCCCACTAAGTTTTTTGTTGTATTTTGGACAGCTTGGATACCACTAGCCATTGGAAAAATTAAAGTCAACAATCAAAGCTTGACAGGTGAATCTGAGATGCTGGTAATAGAAAAGAAATATATGTTACAGGAGTGTGGTTAAATAAAATTAAAAAACTAATTATATAAAGAAGGTAAAGCATGTTATTAAAGTTAATAATAAAAGGGTTTAAAAAATAACCTTGTGCTCTTAAAGATTCATGCAAAGGATCTCATGTATTGTTCTCCTATTTTCTTTGATTTGTTCCTCTATCAATAAAACAACATTTGATGATGAAGGGAGTTATTGTATTTCAACAGATAGTTGTGTAAAACTGAGTGTACAATTAATTCAAAAAGATGGTGAAAAAATAATTAGTTAGAAAAAAAATTGATAATGGTAAAGCATAAAAGATATAGTTGATGTTGGAATAACTTACAAATGTTTATATGCTAAGCATTCTGGTATGTCTGGATTGAAGTACAAAGAGAGGCGACTGTAATGTTAAGATTTGGTTTTCCTTGTGACTAAAAGAGTTTTTTGTAATAAAAGAAAGGGAAATTAGTTGGATTAGAATGATAATAAAAATATTAAGTTCTTTTTTAGAAAAAAATAAATGGAAGTTGAAATTACCCTTAAATTCCATGACACGAAATCCAGCAAACGCAATGATAACTTGAGGTGGTAGGTTATGAAGAGCGAGTTCATCAAAATCTCTGGCACTATCACCCCAAAGAGTTATGCGAAGCTCCTCACCACTTTGAAAGAAAATACAAAACAAATTTGATCAATAAGCTTGATAAAAGTAAGGTAATTGCATTTAATTTTTTTTAACTCACTGAATGTTCTCAAGCGTGAATTTTCTCTTATTTTCAAGAGTCTGTCCACAAACAATAACTTGTTCGAGTGGTTGCAATGCTTTAAATCTTCCAAGGACATCTTAAAAAATAAGAATGAATGTTTTAAAGCGATCTTATCAGATTGAGTTTAGTAATAGAAATGTTTTATAATAGGCTAAATGAATGAAGTAGATGGTAAGCTTGTAAGAATTCTTGAGCCTTCGGACTTGGTTAGAATATATGCGTAGTTAATAAAATTAAAGTAGTATCTAGGAACATAAGGTGTGATAGCTTCAATGCCTGTAATTTTTATGTTAGATTTGAGATCAATTACAACATCATGGGTAGCAACTGTGTTTACTACTCTATTTTGATTAGTATAGAATCCTTTGATTTTAAATGTTGGGAGATTTCTTGTTTTATCATTAGTATAGAATCCTTTGATTTTATAGTGATTTCCTTCAATAATTGTTGTTTTAAATGTTGGGAGATTTCTTGTTTTAGCTAAACCTTGAATAGCTCCACCTTATATAAAAAGAAGATTAATGTTGGTATGAAAAAAAAAAAATACTTGTTCACTATGAACAAACAAATGGATTAGAATTTTAAATGCAATATGCAATAAGGTATATAATTTTAAATGTAATATGTAATAAGGCTTTGTAAATTATTTAAAGAAGAGTTTCTATGATATTGGAAGTGAGGTATTGGTACCACTAGAACATTAAGCTAAAAGACTAGTTTTAATAATGAAATTAAGAGATTTAATGTCTTAATATTTCTTAGAATGTGTAAATTAGTTGTTACGTATAAAGTCTATGAATTTCAAGGAAGATTTTCTAAGTTAAGAAACGTGTATTGAGGTGAAAGTAAAACTTTATTTCTAGCAGGATGCATATATATTATAATTAATTATTATAGACGATTGTAGAAATGAAAGCTATATATAAAAGATGTACAAAATAAAAAATACATGTACTTCTTGGTTGCTTCTCATTGCTTGTTTGTAATTGGGTGTAATAAACTATGGCTCTAGTATGAAACTGTAATTAAAATTTTCTTGGTGAATTGGTGTAGTTAACAGTGATGCATCATAAAATTTCTTAAAATCTTATATTAAATCATGTCAAGTAATAAAATATATGAAACTTGTCTAACCTGTATAAATTTTTTTATGGATTATATAAAGCAAATGCAATGCATAGGGCTTGTCTGATTTTTTAAGCATGTAGAAAACAAAGTTGATTGTAAATTATAAATGGATGCTAAAAATTCATTATGTTTTTTTTTTTTTACAATTTCAATATTGAAAAAGTTTTTTTCCATAAGTTGAATAAGCAATTGTTGGTTTAATAATGAACTTAACTACATCGCTATAGTAACGAATTAAAAAAGAAAGGAAACTTGGTTTTTTATGGGGAATCTTAAGAGCAAATAACTACCTATGGTTAAGTTAAAAAAATGTTAAATTACCAAAGTAAAGAAATATTTAGAAATGAGTGGACATGTATTATTCAAACATTTAAATATATAGAAAATGAGATTCATTAGTGATTATATTTTCATAATAAATTATACCTGATTGTCAATAAAAACATAATTAAAACTGCTTGGTTGACCATTAAATTTAGCAATCCAAACTCGACAGGCCCTAGCTCGTAATGAAGGGTAAGAGTTGTATTTTTTAATCTCTTTTATAAGTAGAGCCATTATCCTGCAAATGATTAATAAAAACAAAATTAGGAGTAATGATAAAACAACAAAGCTAATATTAACAAAAATAATGGCATGTATTGCAAATATTTAATTTAAAATGAACGAGAAAAACAACAAATGGAAATATGCCCAAATTGAAAATGATGAATCAAATAATTTTTTTTTTTTTGTAAAAAGCATCACCTTAGAGAAGAAAAAAAGACAAGGAGCAAAAGATTGACAAATAAATAACATATGGTTTCGAGAGATTAAGACAGTGATAGAGAGCTAAAAACATCTTTATGCACAATGTTTTTTGCATAGATGGAATAATTTCCTTCAGCATCGCATGCGATAATCTTAAGTCCTTGTCTTGATCTAACCCGTAAAAGAGCAACATACAATTGTTCATGAGTGAAAACTTGATCCTTGAGAAAAACCCTAACAACTTTCAACGATTTCCCTTAACTTTTATTTATTGTCATAGCATAACATGGTCTTATAAGAAATTATCTTCGTTTAATTATGAATGGATATTTTGCATTATTTATTAGGAAAACAATCCTGAGAATAAATACACAATTGCCAATAAAAGAGCCTGTTATTATTTGAGCTTCGATGACCCTCTCAGCAAGTTGCGTATCAATAAGTCTTGTTTTGTTACGTAAACCAATTGATAAATTAAGATTGCGTAAAAGCATTATTGGTGTGCCAATTCTCAAGGAAATTGTGTAGGATGACACTCTGTTAAACTCAAGTTGATTGATAAATTCAACAGGATACAAAATATCTGTACTATCACCATCACTCAATGTTTTGCAAGCAGTATCAATACTTAGGTAAATTCGCTTGATTCCTGGCAATACGTTAAAGATAAAATCATTGATTTCAGAAACTGTAGCATTTTTTGGAGTTACAATTGCACTCTCTCTAAAATAACATGGATCAATATTGATATCACAGATATAGGGATACACTACTAAAACAATTGCTAATATGAGGTTAGATCCAGCTTTAAACAGAAGATCTTATGGTATTTTAATCATCGATGCATCATAATCATCAGGGAATAAAGCATCCCGTTGAGTTCCATTACTAATTGCAATAATTCAGTTGGCAAAAATAGCAAGTTCTTTCTTTTGATCATTTGAAAGTCCATTAGATGATAACCTCATATTCCTCTATGGCCATAAACAAAAATCAATGACCACAAAATAGAGCTGCGAAGAGATGCATGAACAATGTCTTCCTTTATTCCTCCAAGAATAACGGTAAAATCTGTTTGAAATCTCTTCCTAACAAAATTGATTTCCCACCGAATGGTTTATCATTAAGCAAGTTGTTACCATTTGTTAGGACATCATGAAGTGAACAGTCCAATGCCTCAAAGCAACACCAATTATTCATTGGAGCCTAATCCCATACAATTAGAGAGGTCATTTTTAGAAGTCATGCAAGATCTTTTTTTTTTAATCTTGCATGATGAAGTATCAAAAACAGTAAGGGGGATCTTAAATCTTGAATGAGCTGTGCGGCCACCAGGAAGCAAAAGTGATGCGATACCCGATGATGCAACAGCAAGGACAATCAAACCATCTGATCTCAACCGATTAATTATTGTATGCCATAAAAATGTTTTCCCAGTTCCTCTATGGCCATAAACAAAAATCAATTCTTGTCTTTCTTCAAGGACAACTTTAACAACACAATCATAAATATTTAGTTGACATTGATTAATTTGTGGGAAAGCTAATGAATGTTGACATATAAGATCTACAATATTGTAGTTAAGTTCTTTCTTAAAAGTTTATTCTTTATTTCTGACAATAAAAGCCCATCAGGCATTAAAAGCTTGTGTTTTTCAAGAGATATGCCAGCAACATTAAAGAGAAGCTCAAGCTCATATAAAACATATTTTTTAAGCTCATCATCAAATAATTTAAGATTAGGCATGGCAAAGTTTGATTTGAAACGGGTGATAATATCATCGATTTGAAACGGGTGATAATATCATCATACATTGAGCGTCAAAATTTATTGAACAAAACTTCTGGATTAGCAACATCACAGAAAAGAATTACACTAACAAAAAGATTCCTAATGTGAGAAGATGTTGTAGTAACTATGGCCTCACAAAAGACTTCTTCCCATTTTTTATCATCCCCTAAAAGCCCCAAGGTCTGACAAGCAAATTAAAATGTTAAATGCACAACACCTAAAACATTTTTTAGATAATCAAAGCTCAACGCTCCTCTTACATGGTTAAGGAGTAGTCTTAGAAAATAGAGCTCTCCTGAAGCAGGGTGAACATATGTTAATCGACCAAGACTAAAACCTTTTGATCTTGGAATCCATTCTTTTTTACCAGGATCCCAAATACATTTTTGTGGAGATTCTAAGTAGCAAAGCTGACGTGCTTCATGATTAATTCTATTATGTTTGAACCATTCTGTGAGCATTATTTTCTCAATACCTGGTTTTTTAAGTATTGATGGTGGACTTTCATTTCTTGAATAAACAACATTTTGATCAATGGTAAATGGATTTGAAGTCACTTAACAAAAGGTGATCTTGAATGTATTGGAAATTGTAGAAGATATCAGACCGCTTTATATGGGCATATAAAACGACAATTCATATAAGTATGGATGTCACCAATATGATCTTTTTCAACAACAACTCCACATTTGTTAGAACCCTTGCTTACATACTTAAAAATATATTTAACTAATATTGATTGACAACAAATCTCAATATTTATCTTGGCATTGTACCGTAATAAGAGTTTCCTATTATATGGAATAACATATATGTTATTGAGCTGAATGTCGTTTTTCATAATAAAATTGTCTTTAAGATCACAATGTCTATAGTAAACAAAGCCATTATCATAAAAAACAGTTTGTGTCTTAAATTTTTTTGGGAATCTTTTTGAGCAAACTCCTTCATTCATATACTGAGATTTTGGATTTGTAAGACCACATGGACCACGCATCATGAATCTTAAAACAATTTCATAACATGTTGCATCTGTAAATTTATTGGGGATTTCAGCTAAAACATCATAATCAACATCTTAAGGTGTGCAACATTCAAAATTCAAGTGTAGCCAAACCAATATATGAGTGTATGACAAACCCCTCTTTTAAAATTCAATTGTACAAACATTAACAAAATAAAAAGAAAACTAAAACAAACAATCATAATAAGAATATAAAGTTGTAATGTTTAGAAGAAATGAGATAAGAGATAAGGCACCTGCAATTGTCTGACCAAAAGGCTTACCTGATTTTATAAAGGCTAACATATCAACAACCTTTGATATAAAAACATGTGTAATGATATCAGGCTTGTCTTCATGTTTGTAAATTTGACCTTTTGTAAACTCTCTTCGTATCTTAGGCTAATTAGCATTACATGCGAATGAAATAACTAGTTTAGGATTTCTATAGGCTCTATATATAGCTATTGCATCCTGGTAATTATTGATTATATAATATAGGCTACCAGTTAAAAAAGATGGAACAATGATTTTCTCAGCTAAGAAACCTTCAACATCCCCATTAAGCACAGCATCATGGATACCTTTATAAATTTCTATATGTAAATCTTTTTAATTAGCTCTAATATAATTCAGACGATTTTCTTCAATATTAATAAATGCATAGACCAAGAATTGTTGGTACAAATAACCTCCTTTAATAATGGTATTATTACACCCAGGCCTTTCATTTATAAGGTAAGCATAATAAGCTTGCATCGGAACTCTTGACCTTTTCCTTGTTTTTTCATGTTCATGGTCAGCAAACATAATATTATAGGAGTAGCCATCATCATCATAAGGAAACAAAAGGGGATACTGTAATGCCATGAATTTTGAATGTTATTTTGAGATCCATTTTAAAGAACCTAAAAAGCATTCAATAATTATATCTCATTTTGAGAAAAAATCTCCAATATCTCCAACAATGAATCCACCAATGTCATTTGATGTAGGATCATCATATTGGCATGAATCATGGTTTCGCTTTCCATGTAAGCGAAGTTTATAATCAACAAATTGAATATTTTGAGTTTTGTCTCTAAATTTGCGAAACAATTTGGCAAGCTTATTTGTTTCATCAAGCATTCTTAAAAGATTCACAACAATATTCTCATCTAGAGATGATTTAGATTTCTTATAAATGATAAAATTCTATTTGCAACTTTATGAGCAATGTCAAACATATAGAGTTGTGCAAACTTTGGTGATTCTCCATCAACAAGTAAAAGGGAGCCCATTAGATGATGAAAATGACCACTTATCTTAAACATATATGGAGTTGGTTTATCATTAACAAAAGTATCAATCTTTGCACATATTGATGTGAAAGAAAACATAAAGTTATAAGCTCGTATATTGTCCTGAAATTTTTTTAACGCAGTGCCATTTTTGGGATCAAGAAGAAAATAAAGAGTTGGACATTGATGTGAAAGCAAACATAAAGTTATAAGCTCGTATATTATCCTGAAATTTTTTTAACGCAGTGCCATTGTTGGGATCAAGAAGAAAATAAAGAGTTGGAGGAGTTGGTTACATAGTTAGAAGGAAAACTCAACCATTAAGGCAACAAAGTGAGAAAGATAGATTCTTTTTAGATGAACATGCAAGACGCTCTTGAAGCCAAAAAAGCTCATTACAATGGTAAGATGTAAAAGTCTTATCATCAAAGTCAACATACTCGTGTGTTTCCCCTAGAAATTACAAAGAAAATGAAAAATAATGAAAAAAAAAAAGAACATGGATGACATAAGTTATGAAAAAAGAATGAGACTTAGGGAAATTTCAAGGTAAAATCACTTTTTTTTTTTGGTATTCAGATCGGCTAACCAATAGGCTTTGATAAGTAATTGGTTCATGTATGGTGTTAGTTTCAAAGCTAGTATTGTTATTGCAAAATATGCCTGACTTGTTGATGCTATTGATGAAGAGGTACTATTATTCGAGATTGAACAATTTCCTTATAAGGAAGTAGAACATGAGGCACCATCATCAATAATATGTAAAAACAAGTGATCACTAATTGGATGATCAGAGTTGTATGGTGTTGCTTGTGTGAATAGAAAAATTTTGTCACCCAAATTTCCTTCACTATAAATATGGATTGTTGAGTTGTATGGTAAGGAAACACCAGGTCCAACATTATGGAATGGTTGTAATCTTTGTCGATTACTAGTCAAAAAGTCGTTGCTCCTAAAAGTTAAAAGATAAATTTAAATGGTTAAAAATAATCAATCAAGACAATTTTAATAGCATGGTTAGAATTGAGAATATAAATGGAAAAGAAATAAAAATTTCATGAAAGAATAAGAAATCAAATAGAAAACTTAATCATGCAATAGAGGAAACATGAACACATGACAAAAATCACATTAATTTGAAAAAAATGAAGTATAGAATGGAAAAGACAAATACAACAACAAAGAAAGCATGCAAAAAGTAAGCCAAGTTTGAAAATAAAGGTGCATCTATAATTGTAGTAAGATAGAAAAAATGTGGTGTTGCAACTTCTTGTTGTCAAAGAATTATCTCAACCCAATAACTTAAGCTTTTGGGTTGAAATGGTTCTTTGACATGGTTTCAAAGCCTTAATAACTAAATGGTCACATGTTCGAATCTTACCATCATCATTTATTTGATAAAAATTAAGCACAAGATAATGTGACTCTATGCAAGTTTCAAACCTAAAGGGTTTTCACTTGAGGGGGTGTGCTAGAGAATAATATAAATCATATCCTAAAACCTCACCTAACAGTTTAATCTATTGGGTTGAAATTGTTTTTTAACACTTGTAACATGGAGATAGTTGAACAACAAATGGAATAACAAGCCTGCAATAAATGATGAAAAATAAAAAGTCACGAAGCAAATTTGAATTTGAGAGGTGGACAATAAAAACAAGAATAAAAATACATATGATTACAAAAATCACAAGCAAATAATTATGAAAAATATGTTCCTTCTGTAGCAAAATTCAAAGTTGTTGCAATGGCAAGAAACAAATGCAATAATAAAGAAAGTGTGTGGCATTTGTTGCAATAAACAAATGTGGTATGAAATGAAAATTTTTTTCTCGCCAAATTCTTGGTGTAAACCAATTAAGCCACAAATTATATTCAATTGAATTCAAATTGAAAAATGTGTTCATTATGCTGTAAAATTTAGAGTTATTCCAATAGAAAGAAGGAAATGCAATAAAATAAAATAAAATGAGTGAACTTTTTTCAATAAATAAAGGTGCTAAGAAATGAATAAACTTTTTTTTCACCAAATTCTTGCTATAAACCACTTTAGTCACTAATTATATGCAATGCAATTAAAAGCGTTAATTCAACCACTAATTACATACTCAAATAAAAATCATGGGAATTAACAATATAATTTTAACAGAGAAAATTTTCTTCAAGCAAGCATTATTGAAAATAAAATTAGCCGGTCATCATATGTAATTGAATTGAAAAGCCTTGACATAAGCAATGTATATTGTTGTGGAGAAAATAAAAAAAATAAAATGGTTAAGCATAATGTTGTTAATCATTTCAACCATATTATATACAATCAAATCTCAAGTGATAATTCAACTGCCACTTATATACAATTTAATACAAAATCTAACTAAAACTAAATCATAAAGGAATGGTTTCTAATTTTCCAATCATGGAAATTTTAATAATATTGTTAAAATTGAAAATTTCAATGGAAAACAATAAAAAAGCAAACTATTTAATGAAAGAATAAGAATAAAAATTTCAACAAAAAAGTTAATTATTAAATAAAGGAAACATGAACATATAAAAAAATCCAAATTAATTCATAAAAAAACAAGCACAAAATGGAAAAGAAAAATACAGTGACAAAGTTGCAGGAAAAAAATAGATTAAGTTTGAAAATAAAGATGTACCTATAACTTGAGTGAGACAGGAAAAATGTGGTGATTCAGCTCCCTGCAACCTGAAGATAGTTCAACACCAACTGACATAACATGCTTGTAACATATGGTGAGAAATATAAAGTCAATAAGGAAATTTAAACTTTAGAGATGGACAATAAAAATAATAAAAAAAGATATGTGATTATCAAAATCGAAAGCAAATAATTATGAAAAATATGTGTAATTTGCTGCAAAAATAATAGTTAGTGCAATAGAAAGAAACAAATGCAACAATAAAGAGAGTGAATAGAATTTTTGCAATAAACAAAGGTGATACCAAATGAATAATTTTTTTCCCCACCAAAATCTTGCTATAAACCAATTCAAGTACTAATTATATGCAATCCACTTCAAAGCGACAATTCAACCACCAATTACATGCAACAGAAATTAATTAAAGTCATGAAAATTAACAACATAATTTCAAAAACAGAATATTCTTTATATAAATGTTGTTGAAAACAAAAGTAGTCATCAATCACATGTAATTGAATTGAAAAATCTTGATATAAGCAATGTATATTTGTTGTGAGAAAATAAAACTCAATAAAACAATAATGGTTAAGCATAAAGTTGTAAACCATTTTAGGCACAAATTATATGGATTGAAATTTGAAGTGATAATTTAATTGCTAATTATACATAATTTAATTTGAAGGCCAAATAAAAATAAAACAACATGTAAAAAATTCTTCATTAAACAGTAGCACCTTAAATGACCATGTCAAACTAAGAAATAATTTAATTCTCTGTTTTTAAGCATAGAAGTAATAAACAATTTAATTCTTTGCAATAATTCATTAGCTAACCTAGCAATTAACATCCAAATGTAAAAATCTTCAATATACTATCGATTAGTACTTAAAAGTGCATTTTTATCAAGGTTTTATATCATCATTTTGCACTTGAAGTATCAATAACTCCTTAACTAAAACATGTTTTATAATAAT